CCACAGTCCATCTTCCATGCCGTTGCCAAAGGGGTTTTCCTAAAGCATTGGTGTGACCATGGTCACACTCTGTCTCTAATTACCTACTGCCTCCAAGATCAAATATAAAAGCCTTTATTTGACATTTAAAGCTCTTCACAACCTAGACCCTTCTTACCTTTCTAATCTTCTTACGTTCTACTTCCGTGCACTCTAGACCTACTGGCCTGCTTGTAACCTCGTACACAACCTAACACTCCATCTTCTCTGTGCCTTTGTACTGGCCATTCACCAGGGCCATCTCTAGTCATCCTGATCTATATCTTGCCACTGACCCGGATGGCTCTGGAGGAGAGAGTGAGGCTGGTGACTTTGCACAGCTCTCCCTCACTTAAATCCAAATCACAAAAAAAAAAAATCAAAATCGCTTGCATGTCATGGCATCACCTGCCTGATGTCATGGTCCTCTTCAAGAACAAGCAACAGACAACAACTGGCCATTCCCCATACTTGGAATTCTCTCCCTCCCAGCCTCTGGCTTTCTTTAAGACTCACCTCAAGCGCCATCTCCTCCAGGAGACTTTTCTTGGCCTTCCCACCACCACCCCCCCCCGAGGACTGGCACCCTTCCCTCTGAGGTTGCCTTCTATCAATTCTCTATTTTTCTTGAGTGTTCTGATTTATATATGTTGTCTTCTCTGTAAGAGTTTAAGCCACTTGAGGACAGGGACTACATCCCCAATGCTTAGCATTGTTTCCAGCACAGAGTAAGCACTTAATATATACTTATTGATTTACACTTTTACAAAACTTACTTTGCTGCTCTCACATCTGCAAAGGTGACAACATTGAAATTATCATTGAAAGTTCATTATCTAAGCTCACTGAAATGTAGGAAGAAACTAGATAATAGGTTGGCATCGATGAAGCCAAAAAAAGCTTTATTTTTCAATAACGTATAATGGAATAACAGTATTTAATGGCACAAGGTTTCTTTCTTTTTTTTTTTTTAACAAAAACGAATGAAATGAATAGGGCCTGTGTATCTGAGGAATTGGTTTGGACTTCTAAAATATTGGGCAATGAGTTCTTCCAATCAGTGTCATGTTTTGGTTGTGTTTTTGTTTGTTTGTTTGTTTCATTTCAGGGAGTGTTTTTGCTGCTTTGAAGTTAAAGAGGCTGACTTTAATTAATCATTAAAGTTTTTGTTTTTTGGTTGGTTTGGTATTTTGTTGTTTTTTTTTCTTTTTTGCTTAATTCAGAGGGTTTGACACTGGAAGCTGAATTCATATCATATCCCTATTTCTAGTCCATGACCTAAGGCTTCTGAGAACAAAATTAAGTAGGCTATTTGGCTGTACTCTTTTATTGCCACTTGAGTAAGTATACTTTCCAAAGAAAACCTGAATATGAATAATTGCTTTCTCTAGAAATGTACCTCCATAGATGATTCCCCTTTTAAGGAAACGAGAAAGGTTAGAAAATGACATACATTTGTCAACTCTAGTCTGTGTCTCCACCCACTTTTAGCTTTTTGACTGTTAAAGCTTCTGTTCATTTTCAGTTTTATGTTTTTGAGCCTTGGAATTACATTGGACTCTACAAATTATCTTTCTGGATTAGTATTCAAGGGAATTTATGCTGTTGATGGTACTATAGGAGAGGGGAATTAGACCTATAATTTCAGTGGAATACGGGTGAGGGAATCCCATGGTCAGCACCTTGTCTTCAATTTGCATTCTTAGCAAGTGGCTAAGAGATTAAGTGACCTGCCCAGAATCATACAGCCATAGAAGAGGCAGCACTTGAACCCAGGGCTTCTAGACTCTGAGGCTGGCTCAATGTTTACTATGACATACTGCTTTTTCTGATATTGTATGTTGACAAAATGTATTTGTGAAAGTTAAGAGTGAAGCTCAGCTCTCATAACACCCGGATGAGCTTTTACAGATATCTGCACCTAGTCAATAAATCAAGAGCCTGCATGTTTCTATATGGATGATGAAGCCCTGCTTCCTTCTGGCTTTACTGCTAATCACCTTCTCCATAACCCAATCAATCATGGGGCTCAATCAGGAATTTCTGGGTCATACATGCCCTTTGGCCAGGGATCAGAGTGTAGTCCTACCATTTATGGTAAGTATTCCAGTCCACCCCTCCAAGAAAGGGAAGAACCATTACAGAATTCTTTTGTTGTGATCTAGTCATGTCTGACTCTTTGTGACCCCTTTCGGATTTTCTTGGTAAACATACTCGAGTGGTTTGCCATTTTCTTCTCCAACTCATTTTACAGATGAGGAAACTGAGGCAAAAAGGATTAGGTGATTTGCCCAGAGTCACCCAGCTAGTAAATGTCTGAGGCCAGATTTGAACTCACAAAGATGAATCTTCCTGACTCCAGGCCCAGCACTCTATGCGCTGTACCACCTAGCTGCCCATCACAGGTTCTTATCCCTTAATAATAAAGACTTTTCTCTTTAATAGTAATTAGAGGCAGCAGCTGTTGGGGGGGGGGGGAATCACTGAATTTGGAATCAGTGGACCTGGACTTTAATATCAACTTTGTAATTTAATATCTCTGTCCGTGGGCAAGTAATGTCTCTGGGCCTCAGCAGTCTTATCTTCAAACAAAGGGGCTGGGCTACTTGAATGTTGATTTCCCTTCCAACTTAAAACCCTGTGATTCCATGTATGACTTTCAATGAGGCAGCTCTTCCCTAAGATCTGCCAAATACCTGATGGGCCAGTCAGTAGACGAGGGGGTGCTTGGCTAGAAAGTCATCCAGTGACCTGGTAGAATTCATTTATCACCTACAACAAGGCAATTAAAAATTTCAAGTTAGAATCCTTGCATTGCTCAATTTAATATGCTCAAGGAACTTCATGGAGTGGGTAGGGATTGGGGTGGGTGATTGGCAGGATACAAGGGATAGAACTTGTACAGAAATAAGTAAATACAAAATGTATGTGACACAAATACAGAATATTGGGGTAGGGAGAGAGCCCTGACAACCGGGGGAGTCAGGAAAGGTCTCATGTAATGGGATAGAGCTAGAGATTACAAGAGGCTTAGAGGTAAAGAAAGGAGATAATTCCAGGAATTGTGATATTAAGGAGTGTACTACAAAATAACCTTAATAGGCCAGGTCTATTTCTAAGCTGTTATAGAAGAATATAGGGCAGTAAGGTGACACAGTGGATAGAGTGCCAGGCCTGGAGTCAGGAAGACTCGTATTTATGAGTTCAAATCTGGCTTAAGACACTTACTAGCTGAGTGACCCTGGGCAAGTCACTTAACCCTTTTTGCCTCAGTTTTCTCATCTATAAAATGAGTTGGAGAAGGAAATGGCAAGCCACTCCGATATCTTTGCCAAGAAAATCCCAAATGGGGTCATGCGGAGTCAAACAGAACTGAAATAACAACAACAACAAAGTAGAAGAATGTTGGGGTGCCTTAGAGCATGATAGGGTGCCACATGCATCCCTTATACTCTCCTGGCCAACCCTGAAATATCAGAGCAGGTGGCAACCTTCAAACCCATGCAGACTTAAAATTAGCTTAGATTGTGGGAGCACCATGCAAACACCCAATCACAGATGAAAACAAAACTGAAGAGACATAAAATTCTATAAAAAGAGCCCATCATTTCAAGTGACAGGGAACCCAAAAGAAAGGTTTTGAGCTCATTCATGTGTTAGTTGAAGCAGCAAAAACTGAACACTGTCATGCCTTAATGTCAACAATCAAATGTCATTTGTGATTATAAAACCTAACCACCTCCCAGGTCTGTAATTGCATATTGCAGCAAAATACCATTTTAATCTAAATCCTATCAATGTTGTTGTTCAGTCTTGTCCAACTCTTTGTGACCCCATGAACCGTGCTGTCCGTGGGGTGTTCTTGGTAAAGATACTGGACTGGTTTTCCATTTCCTTCTCCAGTGGATTGAGGCAAACAGAAGTGACTTGCCCAGGATCACACAGCTAGTCAGTGTCTGAGGCCAAGTTTGAATTCAGGTCTTCCTGACTCCAGGCTTAGTGTTCTATCCATTGAGCCAACTAGCTGCCCTATAGGCAGGTCAATATTTCCAAATAAATCTATGTGCCCTGCCCCTAATACAAACCATTAAAAATAAATAATGGCATTTGAATCCTGATTGCATTTTGGTAGCATATTATCATCCTGTTATCTTTAGCCCTAATGTCTAAGATCAAGCAGGACTTAATGCATAAAAGTAGAAACATCAGACTCCCCTCCCCATTTCCCAAAAATGCCAGAAAGTAGCTTGTTTCTGCTCCTGTATTTGGTCCCAGACAAGAAGATACAGAGTTAAGTTCACAAGAGACCCCCCCCCAACTGGTTTTGAACCTTCAGATTCATTTCCATTCAATTCAATATTTATTAAAGATTTGCTGTGTACTACTGTATACTATAGTACATGAACTACAGTATGTGTATGTATGTGTATATGTATATGTGTGTGTGTGTATTATGTATACACACACACACACACACACACACATATATACATACACATATACATACTAAAGGCTGGGCATACAAGGGGAATTGTTCCTGTCTTCAAGGGGCTTACATTCAAATCTCATGGCAGGACATTTTTTCTTTAACACCCAACAAGTCTGAGCAGAGGGAACTATGGGGTATAAATCAATGAAAGTCAATCTTATGAGAAGGCCTCAATTTATGGCTGATGTAATTCAATAAAAACATAAGCTGCTCTAACTTTTTAGAGACATTATGCATGATGCCAAGTTAGCCTACAGAATTTTTTTTTTAAATCGCGAAGGGGATGTTGGAAATATTTGCCTTGGAATATATTTCTTAGTTTATGTTAACCTTGTGTTTCCCAGTAGGATACTAATATTTACTTAGTGTGTGAGTAATTGTAAACTTGGTGTGCACAAAAAAGAAAAAGTATTATAAGGGTAAGTGATAAAGAAACAAAAAATAGGCTTATCTGTTTCCATCAACTTAAATTATTTTCTTTCTGTTCCCTTAGGTCACAGAGCTGAATATATGACCACAAGGTAGGAAAATGTTTGAGTCTTGCTCATTTGTTATTCCTACCCTTTGTCAAGGGACAATGAAAATTTTAAATCATCAGAAATGGAAAGGCTTTCCCAATGTATGTGAAACCCATGTAGTAGATTCAGGTTTCTAGTAAAACTGGATTTGCATTTATGTATTTCTGAGGACTTCCCAGTGGGACAGTAAAGTGTTCTTATGAGGCAGTTTGGTAACAAGAGCCCAAGGTCTTGGATTGTCTGAATCAGAGCACTTAGAGGCTCCAGAAAGATTCCAGACAAAAGGGGATTATAGGATTGGATCATTCACAAGCACGCGCACACACACACACACACACACACACACACACACAAGCAAATGGAGTTATTTTCCCCCACCCTCTTCCTTTATTGTGAAAAGAGGAGATCTCAGAATTGGGACAGATCTTGGAGGCCAACTCAGACCTGAATAAGAATTTCTTCTATACCATATTGAAGATAAGTGATCTTGCAGCCTCTTGCGAGAAAAGCTCTAGTGAAGGGAAGAACCACCCTTTTCTGCTTTGGGACAACTTGAATTGTTAGGAAGCTTTTCCTGATGTCAAGTCTATATATGCTGCTTTTTCAGCTTTGACCCCTTCCTCCAGGTTGTGGCCTCAGGGATCAAGTGTGAAAAGCCTACTCTCTCATACCTAGCAGAGCCATTCTAATGCTTGGAGGCAGCTAGCGCGTCCTCTCCACCACCTCACCATCCCAGTCCCCAAGTCTTTTACAGGCTAAACATCTCTAATTCTTTCAACTAATTCTAATATGAAATAATATTGAGACTCTTTACTGCCTTGGCCACTTTCGTCTAGCTACTTCTAGTTTCTTAATGTCTTTCTCCTAAAATATGGCATCAGAACTAGCATACTCTAGATAGGATCTAATCAGGACAGAATACAGGAGGACTATTCCCGTCCTAGTCCGAGACACCAAGTAGCCCACAATACTTTTGCTTTTTTTTTTTTACTTACCCTTTTACACTGTTGATTTATGTCAATGTGAAGCCTACTAAAAAACCCCAGGTCTTTTTTCACATGAACTACTGTCAAGGCCTTTCTTGTCCCACCTTGTCTATGTGGAATGACCCAAATAGGGTAATCCTCTACCCCTTCAAAAACCATTTTCTTCAACTTTAATCCAACCCTTTCAAATAGTTGTAGTTTTTCTGTTATCTAAAGACTTCAGAGTCACAACCGTGGGTGATCCAATGAAATTATTGTTTAAGCTGATTCCAATTCAGATTGGGAAAAGTTAGGAAGGTTTGGTTTTCTCTTTAAAGGCTGATATGGCAGCATTGGGAGCAATTCTAATCAGCATTAGAAAGATTTTACAGTGGGATGCCAAGTTTTCTTTGGGCTAAGTGGTATATTTAGGAAATGGCTTTACTGCCCTTCACCCAAATTCACCAGATGGTTTTTAGAACTTTAATAATGTTCCTATTTGAAAAAGTGAACCTGTCGCTTTTTTTAGTGAACCAACTAGACAGTTATAGCTATTGTTTTTTCAAGGTTTTCAAAAAGAAAACTACGAAGCTTTTAAGTTCTGTGACAATCAGTTCTCAGTAACAGTTTTATTTTCTGTACTGATCATTTCCCAATATTACACTGTCTCCCATTGAGCCCTCTTTTATAACAAAAACACAGTTAAGCAAAACCAACCAATAAAACAAATGCACCTGACAAAATACGTAGCTTTCTGTGCCCATGGGCCTCCACCTCTCTACCAAGGTGAAGGAAATGTGTTTCATTATGTATCCTCTAGGACCAAGACTAGTCATTAACAGTAATCTGAGCTTAGCTGCTTTTTAATACTGTTTTTATTTACATTATTACTGTAGTCTTTGAGTGTATGGTTCTACTGGTTCATCTTCTGTGGCTCAGTATCAAATCTTCACCGTTTCCCTATGAGTTCCTCAAACTCAGCATTTCTTATGGTACAATAATGTTCCTTTATATCCACAGACCACAATTTATTCAGCCCTTTCCCAATCGATGGGCAACCATCTTGCCCTGCTTTTTTGCTACCCCAGAAACAATTCTTTGACATGGGCTTTCCCCCCCCTCCTTCTTTTCTGTAACTAATGCAAGACACTCCATCTTAATCTAAAATTTCCTTTGTTAGGCCACTATTAGAACACTAGCCCATTTCAGATAACGGCTTCTTTTCATGAAGCAATTGTCAGGCCCTGAGCATAGCAGTTAGAAGTCATTCAAGACACTAGTACCAGTGACCTGTTTCTAATGGTTTCACCTATTAGCTATATTCTAAGACCTATATTGCCCACAGATATTTAAGTGAGATTCTAGCTTGATATAAGTCTTCTGATTTCATTTTCCTTTTAATCAGTGACCTTCCAAAAATAATAGACCCAATGCAGAAAAGCCTAACTTTAAAAAGCCATTTCATTGTCATAGAATCTAATGACTGGGAAGCTTTTTGATATGTTTAAAGTGACTGAAGTAGTTAGATGCCACCCATTGTCACATCTTTGCTATTCAAAGGACCCACTGGGCAGCAACTGAGTTGTTCCTTCCCTCCTGTGGCATTACCTATTCAGTAGTCCACATGCCTTTTCTCACCTCCTAATTAAGATTGCAAAAGCTAACCCAATAATTATAGTGATAGCAGAAAATCCCAGCCTACCTAGCTAAGAGCTTGACATATGATCATAGTCTTTCTCATTGTCCTTCTCATCTTCTTCTGTGGACAATTTACAAAAACACAAATTTGCCTACTAGTCATGGGGTTCAAGGCCTTCTACCCCACTGGTCAGGTGAGCATGTCTGCAGATGAATTCTTCAGATATGCTAGGAAGCTGAAAAGCAGCTTGCCAGTGAAGCCATCAACTCTTGATTTTTCTCCTTAGGGGCCAAATTTGTTCACTTTCAAGGCAGAGGGACAAAATTTCGTCCTTGGTTTTTGCATTGTTATTCTACATACATAGCCAGGTTTCTCAGTAGACATGGATTCATTAGTAGCTTTTCTGTCAGGAAGCTTATGAGTTTGTAATACCTTTTATTAATTAATTAATAAGTACATTTCCCAAAAGATTTAGCTTTGATCTATTTCCTGTGCCATATTTTCTGCTGTACTTTATTCAAGAACTTTTTCCCCCTTTTTAAAAAGTATCATAAAATCCTGTACATCCATAGTAACTAAAACAAATGCCAACCAAATCTTATAGGAGAAGGGGTCTGCATCTTTATGGTTAGTACTATCATGTATAAAGTAAATTCAAGTTGCTGTTTCTAGCCCCCAGTTTAGAAGACAAGAACCTCTGTTTGAGTCCCAACTTTGCTTAACTCTCTGGTCCTCAGGGTTTCTCATCTGTAAAACAAAGGGATGGACTAGATGGTCTCTAAGCTTCCTTCCAGTTCTAAATCTATATTCCTTATGAGATTTGCCATGGGAGATAGGCTGAAGAGATCTCTTCAGTGGTATACAATATGTAAATAAATGGGATATCAAAAATAAATATAGTGGAAATGGGTTAGGAAGCCCCCACTCTACAATCTGAGCTTTTGCACAATAAAATAGTCCAAATAAAGAATTCAGGCAGGAAACAAGCTTGTACTGTACGTAGAGTAAAACACATATAGCTATGTGGGGAAAGTACTGAATTTGAAGTCAGAAGACTTGTCTGGGTTCTAATTCCAGGTCTGCCATTTGGTCCCAAGTTGTCCTTGAGTAAGACTTCTCAGGATCTCAGTTTACTCATCTATGAAATAACTTGTTTGGACTAAGCTATTTTCTTCTCTAAATCAATGCTTTTAGGTAGATAGATGAATATATGATTAATGATACAGAATCAGTCAGGTGGAAAAGTTATATATTGAGCATATTATAACTGTTATATGAAAAACATATTTAGGTAGTGTGATGATTTCTTTTAAAGAATATTGTTGATATGTAATTGGGAAAAAATAAAATACTGTCTGGAAAGCTTAAAAAAAAAGAAATAAAATTGTTCTTTCTTCCTTCTACTGAGAAAATACTGGAATGGGTCTTCAATTCAATAAGTTTTAAGCACCTTCTATTAGACAGATCCTGTATTTGTATTAGGGATGCAAATGCAAAAGTGAGACCATCCCTCCCTTCCTTCAAGGAATTACATTCTAATCACTGGATGCAACACAAATGTGGGGTGGAGGGAAGGGAGATTTTTGAACCCTGCTTTTTGCACTCATAATTTATCCATAACCACTAATACCCAGGATAAAAATCCCAGCATTCTCCTGAGGTATTTTTATTATTAAACATTGATAGAACATTAGATTATAACCATAAATCATTTCATTTAAATTCGTAAAAATTCCACCCAAGTCACTATTTTAGTAAGCCTGTGATTTCTTAGCATGTGTGTTATGTTAACCAATTGATGTGACTTCTGCCCTACCAATCCAGATGGTCTGTGATACTAGCTACAAAAATACAGGGGATACCAAAAGTCTGATTCCATGTATTGTCTATCTTATTAATAAAGTCAGCGGTGAGACATTGTGTTTCTTATGTGGGTGGGCAGTGGTGACTTCTTAACAGAGGTTCCTCGTATATGTAATTTTGACATGACCTTTGGGTGTTTCATTTATTGTTTGATTTGTTCTCTACTCAGTAATTATATTCCCTTCCCTTAGGCCTCCAAATGTTCCCCCTAAGCCCCAGAAACACAGGAAGCCCAGACCCCGATCACAGTATAATGCTAAGTTGTTTAATGGGGATTTGGAAACATTCATCAAGGTACTGGCACCAGCTATTTGGGTGGCTAATCTCCACACTTATTACTATAATGGTCTAGGCCTCTTATAAAAGGAGGCAGATCATTATATACAAGTCTGTCCTGGGGCTCTTTGCTTTCCCAGAAGAGCAATATAATATTTCCTGAAGTCAGAGGGGAAAGAAGAGAATTTGATATTTGGATCAAATTCCCTCAGAGGGAAGGGGTTGGTCCTGCATGTTGTTAGTTTGGTTTGGTATACCAGGTATACCTGGTGTTGAGAGTTGTTACTGTTGTCATTTTTAAGGCCTTTGTAAAGAGAGGCTACATTATCTTTTAAAAGATTTGATTAAACAGTATTTTTCCAGATTGCAAAATGAGTTATACAGAATCATTGAGAGCCTCATGGCAAGGAGGTGTGGGGCAGTATGGACCCAAAAAACAAAATTGCTTGTATTTCCCATGACTTGAGGAATTCATTATATTGGGTGAAATTGTGAGACCTTATAGTCTGTACCTTATATCTCTGCTGTGTTTACTCTCTATCTCCGTTTCATCCTGTATTTCTAATAATGCTTCTAGCCGAGGACGGAGGAACTCGCACACAAGACATCAGGTATAGTCCTAGTGGGAAGAGAGTGTAGGCACTCTCTCTCTCTTCCTCTCTGCATCACACTTTTCAGGTTGGAATCATGGCTTGGCTTTAATCAGGTCTGTCCAATACATTAAAAGAGAAATGTTTGCCTTCAGAGAGCTGACTGATTCAGCTAGACATTTTCCTTTAGACTGGACCCAGGGAATTCAAAACTCTGGCATATAGACTGTCCAATTCCCTAGTAAGGAGTTATCTAATTACATGTGGCTTCTTTCCAAAGTTTCATTGCTCTATTATATCATATCATTTCATTTAGAAGACATCTCATAATGGAAATCAGAGCTTTGGGTAAGGTGACCCAACTTGCTCATAGATTGCAGTCTTTGGATAATGGACCCATTTTAAGTTTGACCTGCAATTAAGGGCACTGGATTTGAGGTCCTTGCTCTGTTACTCCCCTTTGAACCTTGATGTAGTCCATCACTTCTCTCTGGGCCTCAGTTTCTTCAGCTGCAAAATTAGGGGGTGCTTCCAAGGTTCCTTCCCACTCAAAAATCCTATGATCCTAAGATCCTGGTGCCAAGTTTATGGGTGAACCTGGGGACTTTCTGTTAGAGCTATTGTTGATTGCTCATGAAAGAGAAAGGGTCTGTTTCCTCGCTAAAATATATTATCACACGGGAAGGGAGTGTTTCATGTGGGGTCACATCCTCTCCTGTTAAACCCACAATAATTTTATTTTTAAAAAAGATCCATTTGCTGCTTAATTACATTATCCCATTTATCTGGAGTTGGGGCAGCCTTCCCCCTAAACCTCTAAAGAAAAAGGCCCATCCATGTAAAAAAAAAAAGTTATAAATTTCCTGTACTAACAATAAACTTTCAAATTTTCGCTTTTTAACTATTAATGTAATTAATAAATTTGGTTATTTTATTTCTCCATGTATAGCAGATTAGAAGCTACAAATGGGGAAGGGGAGAGGGAAAATTGGAATTCCTAGGCCAGGGTAATAGCCTGACCGAAAAAAAAAAAAACCCAACAGCTCCAAAGAGGGCCTAAGACCTATGTATATTGCTGTAGAGTAAAAGAATAGAGTTTTATAATGACCCTGAGTCATCAGAAGTTAACAAGAAAAGGTTAAATTATCTTCAGTATTCTCTGTTTATAAAGACAGGGAAGTTAAAATTTAATATAATTTAGGAAGGTTTCCATCAAAAACATTGTCCTAAGTAAATATTTGGCAACTAGGGGGCTAAGAATTGTTCGGAATATTTGTCAGTGAAGCTGTTCATTCTCCAATAATGCCAGATAAATAGTGATTGGCATTTGTATAGAATATTAATGTGTGGAAAGTGCTTTATATATATTATGTCAGTTAATCCTCTTAGCAACCCTGTGAGGTGGACATTTCATGTATTTGTTGTTAAGTTGTTTTCAGTTGTGCTCCACTCTTCATGACCCCTTTGGGGGTTTTCTTGACCAAGATACTGGAGTGGTTTGCCATTTGCTGCTCCAGCTCATTTTACAGATGGGGAAACTGAGGCAAACAGTTTAAGTGACTTACTTGTGTCTGAGGTCATGTTTGAACTCAGATCTTCCTGACTCCCGACTCTACTACCCATTTTATATACGAGGAACTGGGGCACGGAGAGACTGTCACTTGTCTGTATTCATTCAATTTCTCAGTATCAGAGGTGGAATTCAAACCTCCTGCCTCTCAAGTACTCTTTTTACTAGACTAGATAGGGCAGATCTACATTTATTTCTCCCCCATAACATAGCTGTGAAGTAGTGGGAGCCAAATTATTTTTCCCATGGTACAGTTGGAGAAACTGAGGTACAAAGAAAATTGTTCAGATTCACAAAGCTCCTTGGGGGTCCATAGAAACACATCACCAGATTCTTACTGCTCATAAAATATTATCTGTTAAAGCCTGAGTTTAAATGCTTAGCATTCACAAAATTCGTGGCTAGCAATAAACTGGCTAAATAGAGAGGGAATGAATACATATTTGAAGAATGCTATGAAAACATGATATTCTCTTTGGAACTTTTTTAATGCAAACATTTTCCTTTTGATCACCTTTGGTCCTCTGTGTTCTCTTTTCTTTTTTTTTTTTAAAGCATTAAGTACATCAAATGTGCAAACTAATATTCTGCCCTTTTTTTTTGCTGACATTTAAACACAATGCCATTATAGATTACAGCATTCTTTTATTTGTTTCTTTAAAAAGGTTACTCCCTTTAAATGATACAAATGTACTGGGTTTTTTTAAGATGAATCAGCTCATCAAAACTATAAATCTTGGTGTTAATTACCATATTGCTATCCTTCATTGCCCAGTTCAGAGCAAAGTCCTGTTTTCATTGCCAAAAACACTCCCTAAAGAAAAGCGTGAAATGGATACCCTTGAAACAGACTCGTGACAGTTACTCAGGAAATTGAACGGAATGATATTTACAGAACCACCCTAAACTATTAAAAGTGAAACATAGAACAATTAAACTGCTTCTCACATTTTTTCGTTACAAACACTATCTTCCTTGGAAGGATATTATCCATCCCAGAAATCATCAGTCAATCAAAAAGTAGTTGTTAAAAGCTACCAGACCCAGTGCTAGATGTTGGGTATACATAAATGTGTGTGTACACACACACATACACACATATGTACATTAAGAAGCAAAACTGCCTCTATCCTCATAGGGCTTACAGTCCATCAGGAACACATGTTTAAATGGCAGAAGCAGGGTATACCCAATTCTTAACCCATTCCTTAAATAGAAAGGTGTATTTTGAATTGTTTTAAGACATTCAGAAGACCATGTTCTTCTTGTGTTTCATATTAAAAATTCGCTGCGAATTAGTGCCTGATGTAAACCCATCATGTTTGAGCTAATGTTTCCATGAAAGATTTAATTCACCGAAGGGCTAAGTTTTTTAAAAATACATGAAAAATTAATTCTGTAGGCAGTAACCTTTTTTTGAAACTACAGGTAGTGCATGACATTAGTACATGTTTAACTGAGACCGCAGTCTCCATCTCCTGTATCAGTAAATACTTATCTTAAAGGGCTACAAGAATTCACATTTAGTCAAAGACCTTAAGCTGCCACAAAATATGAAAATGGAATTTTTAAACAAAACGTCAGTATAAATAAATCTGATGTACTCGAGTGTGATTTTTTTAAATAAATAAATAAAATTTTGAATCATGGAGAAAGTGCTTTGTGGGGGAAAAAACACCTTTGTAGTTATTTATGAGTAAGTTCTGATGCAAACTGAACAAAAACAGTACTAGGGTCCTACAGTGGTGAGCTCTTATCACTGAGCTTCAGAATGGGGACACAGTCTGGTGCGGAATCTTTAGCCGGAGGGAAGGTATTTGTGCAACATTTCTCTCTAAACAGTGAGGTTGAACTGGATGACCTCTGAGGTTCCAGCCAACCCAGATTCTGTGATCAAATGAGATAATATTTGTAAAGTGCCTAGCACATAGCAGGCACTCTAAAAATGCTAGCTAGTGTCTCCTGGGATTTTTTTCAATATTTCATGAGAGGTATTGGCAGGGGGTGTGCTAGTAAATGTTTAACAAGTGGTTCTTCAAAAAAGCATGACACTTAAATTTAATCTGCATTGTCATTTTAAGTTGGGACAATCAACAGAACAATAAATCAAGCCTTCATTGGTAGCATTGCTCACAGTGAAAATTTAACAATCGGCTTTCCCCAGCAGGTACAATATTTAGTTTGAAAAATATGTTACTTGGGGCAGCTAGGTGGTGCAGTGGATAGAGCACCGGCCCTGGATTCAGGAGGACCTGAGTTCAAATCCAGCCTCAGACACATAACACTTACTAGCTGTGTGACCCTGGGCAAGTCACTTAACCCCATTGCCTAGCCAAAAAAAAAAAAGAAAAAGAAAAATACGTTACTTGATAGTGTCAGTTAGGTCTGTAAGGGAAATTTGGATTCCTATGCAGAGACAAAGAATTGAAGTAGAACTGAGACCATTTCCACTGTGTTTGATTTGGCTTGCTTCAGAACTGAAATACACCTTTATCTAAGTATAAATTATTTCCTCTCCCTTTCTTTCCACCTTACAAAAGATCTTGAGGTGGGGAAGGGAAAGAAAAATTTATTTTTTTAAGGATTGACTCAAATTTGACTTTAATTAAGTTGACTGAAACTCCAGACATTAATTTTGCATGTGATTATGTGTTCTCAATTGAGGTCAATTGATTTCCATTTTCTTTCTGCAGGATTCAGGGCAAGTCATCCCCCTCATTGTGGAAAGCTGCATCAGGTTTATCAATCTGTATGGTAAGGTGCAGACATTAACTACTATGGATTTTAAGTAAACTTGTCTTCTTATTTGTTGAGTCATTTGCAAAAGGGAACCAGAAGATGGGCTGCAATTTTTCACCTTTTTCCCTTCTCTTTCTGTTTTTTGTAGGTCTTCAGCATCAGGGGATTTTCAGAGTGTCTGGCTCCCAGGTGGAAGTCAATGACATTAAAAATTCATTTGAGAGAGGTAATTGCATTTTTATCCATACAAGCAAGGGGAAAGACAACTTCTCAAATGCTGTTAAAAATTCATCATTTTCTTTAATGTCCAGGAACATGTTATTCTGTGTTACTCTCTACATAAAACTTGGAGTGGAGAGGGGTGGAAAGAAGGGAGAGGAATAATTTCACATAAGAAAAATGGTACAAAGACCTATGCAGAGCAGTTATTAAATAGAATCAACTGTAATGATGTGACTTGTTACCCAAGGTCTAAGAAGCATTAAAACATTGCATTCTGATTTAGAACAGGATGGGCAGCCTACAAAAGCACTATGCAAAGTGATTCTGAGTAGTATAACCAAGGAGAGTTATCCATAAAATTGTGACCTGTCTAGTGCCTTCCTGCTTCATCTTTCTATCTGTTTCCTGATGCCCTCTCTATACTTAGCTCCCAGCTACCTAATCTCGTTCCCATCATCTCTTTCAGTTGGCTGTCAATTCAACCTTGCTAAAATGTTATTAATTATTAACTTCCTTAATGGTTTCAAGTTTGTCCCCATTCCATTGAAATGTGTTTACATCTAAAAAAGTAAATATGGTCAGCCACATCATCCTTTCTTCCAATCATCCATTTCTTCCCTTTCTTCAAAGTTAAGGCTTAAAGATCGTCACCTGTGGCATCTTCCTCTATGGCCTGGATTAGCAATATTGGGGGTTAGAGAGGTCCCTTGGGGTTAGCTGCCACTTCTCCCTTCTCTCTGCTTATGAGTAAATAAATGACAACTTGGCAAACCACATCCATCTCTGAAACATTGCCCAGTCCCTGCATTGAAACAACTAGACTTTAGTTAAAAAACACTATCTTATTTTGTTTTCTCCTTCTTACCAATGTATGACATTTGGTGGAAATCAGAAACAACCATAACAACAACTTGAGTCCTAACACTGAACTACATGCACTAAAACTTTTGTATAATTTGGTGGTCACTGGGTCATAAGCCAAATTCTGTCGAAAGATGCATTTCTTCAGGTGGACCAGGCCCCATTATTTCACCTCAGAAATTCTCTTGGTATTATTTTTTTGTCATTGCTGGGGTTTGGGGGTATGGTATTCTCATCAAAGTAGAACAAATATCAAATAATTATTTTTATGTAGCAGTAACTGGGCTGGAGAGATTTAGGTTCATAGAAAATTAACTATTCCCTCTTAGCTACCTCCCACCTTTGTAATGTGGACATCACTGGTCCTTTGAAGCCACCCCCTCTTTCCTTACCCTGGGTGTGACTTACGCTCTAGTCACCTCCTTCACCTTTACTCCCCAGGGGAAAGATCCTGTGGGTATGCTTGAAGGAAAACAAGAAACAACCTGAGTCTACTACCTCCAAGAGAATTTTCCCCTTTTAAAACTGCTCACCTATCTCTCAGGCATTGTGTAAGCTTAATGGTCACACAACTAGATCCTTTCTCTATCTTTCAGGGAGTTATAAAATCTGTAAGAGTCTCTCTCATATAGCCCCCAGCTATTGAGATTTACTCTTCTCAATCCATCTCTCATTCAGATAAAGATATTCTCTCCCTCTCTTCTCACTGTCCCTTGTTTTTTGTAATTCCTTCTTCATGAATAATGAAGTACTCAGATCTGAACTAGCCATAATAGATGACTTTATACCGGTAGCAAATTCAAAATAATTAGTTAGAAATTATAAATGTGACTTAAAAAAATGAGATAAGCTTTTAAACAAGAACTCATTCTTCCTGGGAGAAAGACCAAAGGAAAAAGAATCATCATTGTCCTTTTTAGCGAAAGGCACTCTCTCTCTCAACCCTGAATGTCATCCAAATGCCTTCGCCCCCTATTATGATAACAGTAGCAGCAGCCATTTCCTATCTCCCCCAACAAAAAATCAAAGCCTTGTATCACTTTGAAGGCATTCTCTCACAAACCTTCACAAGCTTGATGTTGGCATTCTAGGTCTACCCTTCAGGGTGAGAGGGAAACAGCCTATCTCTGTATGGTATACTCAGTCTCTCTTCGGTCCAAGGGTCTGGAAAAGCCAGATAATTGTGTTACAAGCAGCAGAACTTCATTTCAGATATGCAGCTTCTCCATGTTAAGGAGGTACGAATGGTTATATGTATCAGTGATTTCCTAGTACACTGTTCCTAGTAATAAGAAAGGGAAATGAGAGGTTGTTTGTTCAGGAACCAAGGAATTCTTCTTCAAAGTTAACAAATCATAGAGTGAAGGTGAGTCTGTTCTGTGAAATAGCCAAGTGTCTACATAAAATATATGTGCCTTTCTAGGAGAGTAGCTTTATGGATAACAAACATGATTTAAACATGGGACCAGGGATCAGTCAGTGAGTTACTTTCCTGGCCTTGATGTTGACTCTTTCAATTTACTTAACGATGATTTGGTATCTCCCTCTACAAAGTGGGTAACTTTATAAAAGACTGTGTAATAAGGATTGAGGGGTACATTGCTCTGTTCCAGTATCCTCAAAATGTAACACCATAAATAGGTGCCTTACAAGTGTAAAGTACAACACAAAAAATTAAACACTATCACATGCAAAAAAAAAAAGACCACTTTTTCCTATTTCTGACAAGTTAAAGGTGCATTTTCTAATCACCCCTTCTAGATAGCCTGAAAATGCTACCAAATTTTCAGGTATTTAAGATTCTGTCCATTTAGAATAGACTTATCTCTGGGGGTGGGGGAATATTTATATTCTTGCAATCAGGAGCAGTCTGCATTATTTCTGAAACATTGAGCTACCCCAGGCACACACGTTTTGGATTTTTACACTGTGGCATGAGGAGTCTGGGAAGAGAATTCAATTTAGATGTTGTTAGGTTGCTCATTGGGAGGGGAGAGAAACTTGGGTAGCATAATGAATGCCACAGTTTTTTTTTTCTTTACATTTTGGTAAATTGTAAGGTATTATTTGGTAACAAGATTTTAAAACAGCTTCATTTTAGCCTACTATATTTAGTGTAATCACAGGGTGGGATTTCTAAACCAGTAATTTTAATTTTAGCCCCATATAAAATCTCACAGATCATAATTATAATTAACAGCCTCGTAAAGAAATGTCTGTGGTTTTGATCAGAGTGAACAAAAGTATATGAATAATTTGTTTTTTACTTATTTATTTTAGGTGAAAATCCTTTGGCTGACGACCAAAGTAACCATGACATTAACTCAGTTGCAGGAGTTCTGAAACTCTTTTTCCGCGGGCTGGAAAACCCCCTCTTTCCTAAGGAAAGATTTAATGATCTTATTTCTTGTGTCAGTAAGTGGACTTTTTTTACATTTAAAAAACAAATCCTTCTCTCTGCAGAACTATGTGTTTCAATTAACAACTTCCTGGAAAAGGGTAAGAGATAGCCCCCTGGATTTCAGAGACAAGCTGTTTCCATTCTGGAGCAGTTCATCTCCAGGGTGAGTCTTGCTTTGCATCCAGGGTCACTCCCTTTTTGGACTGGGATTGAACACAGATGCATTCCCAGAGTGGAGTGCAGTTGTGAGGGCATTTCTGAATTGAATAGGGAATATTGAAGCTTCCAGGGCTTTTCATTTTCTTCCGTGCTCAAGGATGGGTTCAGCCAGGCTAAGAGATAGAGGAGAAGTGAGGCTGATGCAAATGAGATGTATTGATCCGTTTCTGTTTTGTTGTTTGCTTTGGGCTCACCCTAGCCCAACTTAGACATCTAACATGTCCACATCTTGGTAATTGCTTCAAGGAATTCCTGCTCCATTGAGGTGAATTCCTATTAGTACACATCAGTGTCACCAGGGAGTGTGGGCTGTGGGCCGACCAAGGAGCCAATCATGTTCTGCTCTGCGAAGGAGTCTAAGCTATATTCAGAATGGAGAAAGAAGGGCATCATGGGAGAGGGAGAGTCAGGCTTCTGCATTGACAGCCTCAAGAGGTCCAGATGAGATTACATATACGTGTAACAGTTTTGTAAAATGTTATGCAAATAGCCTCTTGATGATGAACAATATTATGTCACAGGAGACTATAAAGCTGCTATCCCGAGCATGTTTTGTTTGATTTTTTTTTTTGTTCCGAGCTTTCTAAAAGTGAAATGAGGAAAGTGAAAACTGATCCTAGGGATTGTGTTTTAACACTATGTCCTACTGCACATATTTAAAAAGAATAGATCACAGCCTTAAATATAGATGGAACCTCAGAAACTATCAAGCCCAACCCCCTCTTTTTACAAATGAGGAAACTAAAGCACAGGGCTGTTAAGTGATTTGCTCAGGGTCACACAGCTATTAGGTGTCTTAGATGGGATTTGAACTCAGATCTTCCTGACTCACAGGCTAGTGCTTTATCTACTGCACCAACTAACTGCCTAGGGTTTCGGGTCTGGCAGTGCCCTCCCTGACAGACCTGTATGTTTAGTTAATAGAACTCCCCCCCCCAACCCAGTTCCTTCCAAAATATAAGCATTAAAAATAATGGAAATGTCAAAGGTCAGCCTTCATAACCAGCATGATTGCTGGAACACATGTACCACACCAGAAATGTTGGCTTAGATAGCAAGATTATGAAAGTCCAGGATCACAGTTTTTCCTTAATTCAGTTCAGTGAGTTAAATGCCAGCTATGTTCAGGGGGATACTAAGTGCTGGGGATAGAAAGACCAAAATGAAACAGTCCCCAATTTCAAGATGCTTACATTTTACTAGCTGAAGAAAAGGGCTAGGAAGGGAAGGGGAATACAACACGGACACATTGAACTAAATTCAAAATAGATACCAAGTCAATTCAAAGTGCTTTCCAGAGGGAGAGAGAACTACCAGTAGGTATACTTTTTAAGAACTTTGTTCCAAGAAAGCCTCCTCTAGCTTATCTAGACATTATTGCGGGTGATTCAGAATGTCTCTGAGACATTTCAACATGTACACACACATTGCCTGAGTCATCACAGCAGACTTTTGACCCAGCTGGAAAGAACTAAGAGGAAAAAAAAGAGAGAGAGATGTCATGATCCTGGAATCCCCTTCTACCATGACCAGAACCTTCCCTCACATCCTGATGACTTAAATATGGGAAAATGAACACTCTGGGGATTTTCATCGGCAACATTCAGCAGATTTCTCGTTGCCCAGATCATTGTCTTCTTTAGGTGTCCCACGTGACAGCTGGAGGGGAGGCACAGCCCTCCTCCCTATATCATGATATCATGCCAGGATCTTAGTCAGCTCATCAGCAACACTGGTTTCCTCACTTCTGTTGCATTTTTATTCTACTGTGTCACCTCATAAGGGCTTCTTACAACAGTCAGTCGATTCACATTTATTAAGCACCTGCTGCGTGCCAGACACTGTGCCAAGTTCTTGGGATACAAAACATAGGCCAAAGACAATCCCTACCCTCATAGAGCTTACAGTCTAACAGGAGAGGCAACATCCAAACATGTATGTATACACATGTGTACATATACACGCATGTGCATACATGTTTGTATGTATATCTGTTTTTTGTCTGCCCATATGTACATGCATATGTGTATGCATGCACATATGTATACATGCATATAAATTTATATAGCAAGCAACATGCAAGGTAAATAGGAAATCATTTAGAGAGGGAAGGCACTGGAATTAAGAGGGGTTGGGAAAGGTTTCCTGTAGAATGTGAGGTTTTCATTGGGACTGAAAGGAAGCCAGGAGGCAGAACAGAAGAGGAAGGACCTTGTAGGCATGGGGGACAACCAGGGAGAATGCCCAGATGGAGTGTCATATTCATGGAACAGCCAGGAAACCAGTATCACCCAGAAACCTCAAGATGGGCTTCTTAACTATTAGGATTTAATCTCCAGGTGAACATTTTTGCTCTCTATGCTTTTGTAGTATTGTTCAACTGATCCTAGGATTATAGAGTTAGAATACAGTCCCTTCTTTTTATAGATGAAGACTTTGAGGCCCCAAAAAATTTACTAGCCTGCTCAAGTTCAAAAAAGGAAGGGATGAACTGAGCTGGGATTTTAAACACCAGATATAGAGATAGATAGGTAGATAGATACATACATATATGTGTGTATATGTATGTGCATGTATATATAACATACACACAAATAAACATATATATATATATACACATATATATTTATGCACATTATGTGTATATATGTGTATACACATATATACATAAACATATATATCCATCCAGGACAATTTATTGAGCATCTGCAATATCCTAGATGCCGTAAGAGATGTAGACTCAGATTCCCTACCTTCAAGGATTTCCATTCTAACAGGAAAGACAAGATACACAGCCAAGTGTATACAAGAAGAATAATGGTTTGGAGGACCAGCTTGGGAATCTTGAAAGACCCAGGTTTAAGTTCTGATACCTAAGTTCTCTCAATGTTTCAGACAGCATCTGAGACTCTCTTAAGTTATGGAGCTAGTGGGATCTGCCTTGGGAGGGAGAGGAAGAAAATTGCCTCCCTAGAAACTCCCTATTCCAATGATATCACATCTCCAAATTTAAAACATTATAAGAGTGTGTGTGTGTGTGTGTGTGTGTGTATTACATTGCAAAGTAACATAAGACAAGTATAATAAACGTGGTATGGAAAAATGTTCCATAGGAGGTCAGGGGTAGGAGAGATCACTGGCCTAATCAGTAGATTTGGACTTTGTCAGCTTCCAATAATGGTGTCCACAGTTCCCCCTCCCTCTTCCCATCATATAATAATTTGAAGTGACATTTAATCTAAACAGCAATTTTTTAAAATTTACATCTCTTTGCCAAGGCCCTGTAGAGAGCTTCCTATGGTGATTAAATGTCCTATTTGGTAGTGAAGCTGTAGTGGACAGAGGCTGGACTTTGAGTCAGAAAGACCTGAGTTTGAATCCTATCCTGCCTTAGAAACCTGGCTTCCTTCTAGACTTGACTTAGATCTCACCTTCTGCAAGAGGACTTTTCTAATCCATCCCTCCCACTGCCCCATCATCCACAAGTCTAAAGTTACCTGCATCTCTCTCTGTCTCTCTCTGAGAATAGTTTTTAAAACATTAAAATGAGGTTCACCTAAAGTCCTTCTCAGTTCTAAATCCATGATTCTATGAGGCCACAGTATAAAGTCATTTATTTAAAGAAGTACACAAATCACTCTCCCTCCTACCTTAACACACACACACACACACACACACACACACACACACACACACACACAGAGAGTCTGATACGACTGTGCTCTGGTAACCATAACTCGAAAGCAAGGCAAAGATTAATCTAAATGGATTCAATTTGCCACTAAGGTTTTCCTTCAAGTATATTTCTTCCTTCCTCTCCCCCTACCCCTTTCCTCTCCTTTTTCTCTCCTTCTCTCTTCATCTTTCTAGCTGTCCTCACCCCCTATAAAGCTCACATACGCACTTAACTTTAGCACATGTTAGACATTGACTCTAAATGTGATGTGGCAAAAATAAAATGTGAATGCTTACTTAAATATATAATGTTAGCCAGTAAATTGATCTTGAAAGGCGAGTATTTAGCAATGGATGTCAGGAATGTTTGAGGCAACTGCTGTTAAATAAATACCTTTTCTAAATGTAGCTACCATGGAATTTCCATCCATGTCTTAATGCTTAAGGATAAGTTACCAAGGGAAATAGCATGCTGTGATTTAGCATTTGCTCTCTGCTTTAGAAATGGTGCCACCAAAGATCTGATATTTGCCATTTTCAGAATTCAGAGATGTGATTTGTGGTTAGCTTTTCATACACAGCCTCACAGAGTTGTCAAGCCTCAATGTCAGGGCATTAGAAAAATGACATGTGAAGTCTCCAGTTTGGAGACAAGAACTTTAACTCACTTGGAGAATTTTAATCAGATGCACCAAGCCTAGTTGAGAATTCCCCCTTTTCCCAAGTAGATGAGCTTATAAAGTTGTGGAAACAAGGTATGACTTAGAAAATAAAACAAAGCTTCTACTCACAGCTTTTCCCAGAGAAGAGCATGCCCCAAAGGAATAAATGTGCCTGGCACACAGTAGGGACTTATATCCATCAATAATTGCTTGTCTTGTCTTCCAGTGAAGGAAGGCAAGGAAGCATAATGTTCCATGTTCATTCACAAGCAGGTATAGACATGGACGTTTTCCAGGTTACCCATGACAACCATTAATGTTGGCCCCAATCCTGGGTCCAGGGGAGTGTGCCAGCAGCTGGAGCCAGACCACAACCCAAGCTGGGAATGACTATGCCTAGAGGAGACAGCCAGGGGAAGTTCTCAGGCCCTTCCACCACCTCCAGCTGGTGGCTTGCA